AAACTATAGAACATATGATTTAATTCGATGGAAAACGAAGAACTTTACTAGGGCTTAAATAGGCAAACTAGCTATTACTTTTCTGTTTGTTATTATTTTGATTACTAAATCAAGTGACTATATCGAATAGTTAAATACAAATAGTCAAGAGGCTGAATGTGATGATGGGAATCATTAAATTTTACAAATAATTATTCTAATGTATTGTAGGAATTCTTTGAAATACGATAATCAAGGGATATCTTGATATTCATATTGTGCCTCACACAAAACTTGTCAATGGTATTAAAATTCCGAGATGCTTGTTGAGACGTAATCTACTTTCATAATTGTTTCGAGATATTTATTTGCAAAGTTTTTCATAATATTTATAACTACTTCCAGTGTCAGGGTTACTTCTAAGAAAAGATATACCTAAGAGTTACTGCTGGACTGGAAGAAAAATTAAAGTTTGTTAGAAGTATGGATCCTGAAAAACAGGTTTCATTATATATTGAAAATAATCTGTCAAAATAAGGATTATTTAGGATAGGCTCAATGGATACTTAGATATGGTATGAGTAATGGTCCCTAGACAGGGGCAACAACAAGGATGGGGTGACAGGGTGGTGTGACGGATAGTGATTGTGTACTGTTTTCATTTTCCTTTTTTATATATTATCGAATCATGTATTGAAACGTGTTCCCTTTATCATTGAGTCTGTTATGGTAACAATATTGGATATAGTATAGCATTTGAATGAATATATACCCTATCCTTTTTTTTTTTTTTTTTTATATCCAGGTATCCCAGCTTACACCAGACTAAATCTTGGACCCCCAAGACCCTTGCCCCTAAAACCTTGGAGGGGGTAAATCGCGGGTTATACCTCAACTGGATCACAGGTTCCCCCCATTGCCTGTACACTTCTGCGCACAAGAGATCCTCCTCCATAGTGATTGCTCCATACCAAATATTTGGTCGCAGGTTCCCACCAGGAATCGAACTCTCCACCCTGCCGCTGGAAGCAAGACAATGTTGATTGATCCACCAGTTGAGCTGTGCTCCGGGGGGCATATACCCTATCCTTATAGATAAAGAAAGGCGTGAACAAAGTGTAGTCTCGAACAAATACATGTAACTATTGAACTTCACTGCCATAAACTCAATGAACTTTAATGTGAAAAAATTTGCTAGACGCACGTAGAGAAAATTTTGAATTAGATTGTTCTACTTTAAATTTTGATGGTGTTTTTAATAGAAGTCCTAGTATTTTCTAGACACAATCTCGATGATAGTTTGAGTACTTTAGTAGAAGGTGTTTCTGAATTTTTATTGGTATGCCATGCAAAACATGTTTCGAGTTTTTGATGGATCCACCCTCTTAAAGATTCGTGGTGGACACAACCTCGGCACGCTTTTGGTAGTTTTTATGCCAAGTAGAACATACGTTGAATTCAAAGTTAGGCAAGTGCCAGATTTTGAACTTAAAAATTAGGACACTCTTGTACTTCTTAGCTCTAGGTTTGGTCATCTAGGTATAATTTATGGTGTTCGGGCCAACTTTTAGAGTAAAAGTTGACCGAACTCTAGGTAATATATGTTATAGCTTGAGAAGTTATTCCTTTAAAAGTTGGCCGAACTCTAGGTAATTTATGTCATAGCTTGAAAAGTTATTTGGAGGATTATGTTAACCTAGACTATAACAACATTGTCGAACCACCCTTTTCAACTCTAGTTAAGTATGAAATTACAGTTATGTTACGTTTTATCCAAGGTCTTAATAGAAATAGAGCATGAGTTTTGTCCTTTGTTGCCAAAAAATCCAATTTTAAGTTCCAAGTTCAATGTAATAAAATGAAATGAAATAGCGTGCAGTTGTTAGATCATGCATTAATGTCAAAGACTCTTCATTTGGCAAAAACACAAAAGACAATTGATATCCTTTTCCGTTACACCTCCAAGCCATAGAAAATTGCCCACTTGAACGTAGTACCTTTTTTTAATCTGTGAAATTTCGATTACGCACTCGACTCCCTAAAAGTTTCTGAGCCAAACTCATTATAAAAATGTATCGAGTTGTACTGTGAACCAACGTGCATGTCATTCAATAAATCACATTGAATGTCGAATTTATTAGCTCGACTCGACTCAAGTCGATCTGTCACCCCTAAATTTTGTCTTTCTTCCTCTAAAATTTAGTACCCCATTAATACTTCTCTTCAAAATACACGGTCGACATTCTTCACGTGTCCATACCCATCTCTTTGCGCATCCAAACCACACAAATCTTGTGGCTCAGTAAAACATTGAAGCGCCGACGTCGTTTTTTACCAGCCTACCTATCCGGTAAAACAATACCGGTCAAAATAGGAAAACGACAACCCTATTCTGCAGCCCAACAGAATAAGTACCACTTTACCAGGGTAAAAATAAATTTTTTACTAAAATTACCATTTTCTCCTTATTAAATGCCCATTTCACGTCCGGTTTTACCGGTACAAGTCTCTCTTTAATTGAAAATAAAGAAAAAAAGAAAAAGAAAAAAAGGATCCGTAAGGAAGAATTAAAGGGACAGTTGTTACCTGGAAGCAAAGGCGAATGGATAAATGAACTGTTAAAAATTTGGTTGAGTGTTTAGAGAGAAAATATAATAAAACTGAAAATATACATACACCTATACACACACAGATATATATATATAGTTATGTACACGTTACTTTTTGTATTCATAATTTTATAGCCGGACGGATCTATCATTTTCATTCTCTAATTGCGAGAATTTTCTGGAGAAAAATTTCGAATAATAATATTATATTTCCCGATTTTGTTTCTGATACTTCAGATTACTGAATTCGTATGTAAACAGGGAATTAATGCAATAGTTCTGTGCGGATTGCGATCCAGCTCGTCTTGATTCTAGGGTTCATATAGGTAATTTGTATTATTATTATTCTTATTATTATTATTATTATTATTATTATTATTATTATTATTATTATTATTACATGTTGATCTTTGTATATGAAATTTGTGTTTGCATGTTCTAGCGGTTCAGAAGAATCTTTTGAGGCTTTTTGGATTGAATGAGAATTGAGATCTGAGGGAGAATTTATAGGCATTATTGAATTTTTAGTTTCTGATGAGTTGCGAATGAATGAATTGGAAGATAACTTGTTTCTGTGATCTGATTTTAAATAATAATCTATGTTTCTAACTATTTTTATTACTGAGTTTGCGGAGATGCAGGTTGGTTTTGTTTTTTATTTCTTTTGGTTTAATAGCTGAGAGTGATAGTGATTTCTGAGCTAATTTTGCATTTAATTATTCCGACTATTGGTCTTTTCTTTCCCATTAAACTGGATCATGACTGGAAATGCACAGTAACTAGCACGTTATAGGAACTAATAACCAAGAAAATATTAAAATGAAATTAGAGCCAAGAGCGCCTGCAGAACTTCCAGATCTATTTTGCTTTTGTTGTCTGCTAAAGCAAAGAGGTTGTTGGAAAGTATTTTGCTCAAGCAATTATTTTGAGGAGAAATTGGAGTGGCATTTGTTTTTTTTATTTCGACTGAGGTTTCGAGATTTCTTTGTAATTTCTGGAGGACAATTTGAGGAAGATGAAAGGGAAAAAAAGACTCTTGATTTTGTTTAACTGAAAGGCCTGGAGTAGAAGTTTATGCTACAGGCCTTGTAATTCTCATCTCTGGAGTAACACCCCCACCCCAGCGCTGTCTCTCCTAAGTAATATTTGTTTGCTTTGCCTAAAATTAGCTTTGTGATATTAAACAACTCGTTTCACTGATTATGTAGAGCAATTTGAATTGTCGCAGTTTGGTTCAAGAATCACTTCAGTCCTGTGAACTTTGAGGATCTCTACTTGTATCCTTTTAGCCTCTTCCTTTTGAACCTGGCTCAAAATGTCAGGTATATGAACTTGTTATGCATATCAGCCTTCAATTAATTCACAACATAGTATCAATCTTCTAAAAGAAAAGGAGAAAATTACTGATAAGATTGTTCTATATTCAATCAGAGAATTGCCTTTTGAAGTTTTCTTTCTTTATTTTTCATTTTAGGTGTAGAAGGAATAGAGGCATATGACGAAACAAGGGAGAGGAGATCAGATTATGAGAACTCTGAGGATGAACGGAGAAGATCGAAAATCGGGAATCTGAAGAAAAAAGCACTTTATGCTTCAAACAAGTTTACTCATTCCCTCAAGAAAAGAGGGAAAAGGAAAATTGACTGTAGGGTTCCTTCAGTTTCTATTGAGGATGTGCGTGATGCTAGAGAGGAGAGTGCTGTCAATGTCCTGCGGAAAATGCTCCTTGACATGGATTTGTTGCCTGATAGACATGATGACTATCATACTCTGTTAAGGTGTGTTATTTGCTTCATTATGTGACTTTTTCCTCTATTCCCCCAATCAAATATATTGGTGGACATTGCAGTAGGATCCACTTCAATATGATGAGTCTCACGTGCATGCTTGGAAGTGAAGAGGATACGTGCTAGCTGTTCCATGTTCAAAATCCTAGAACTTTTAAGTAATGTGGATGATAAAAGTAATTTGGCAATAGTTGTTTGTGGTTCATATATAAGTAGCCCATTTGATTTACAATTAGTGAACTTTCATGGGAGAAAATGACCAGATGAGGGCAACTGAGGCAAAACAAATGAAAGAAAATCCAATGACATCTACATTTATGCACAATTTTGTCACATATTTGGTGTGCTGATGTGGCACTTGTGTTTTTGTATTATGTGCTTGTCAGCTTGTGTTTACCGTTGTTGCTGCTGAGAACAATGATTTACACTTAGCAATTAATTTCCTTTATTTAGATTTTTGAAAGCAAGAGATTTTAATGTGGACAAGACCATCCAGATGTGGAAAGAAATGCTTTATTGGAGGAAAGAGTATGGAACAGACACCATATTGGAGGTAATCATATTATACGTTAACAAGCATAATAATGCTGAAGAAGGGAGTTCTTAATGAAATCTCATATAGCAAACTGTTGTTCATATTCTCAACATGTTTTTGTACTTCTGCACCTGCCATTCAAAGTCATGGTTTTCAATTTCTTTTCCTTTTAGCGTTATTATTATATGATTATCGCTTTTGAATATTCAGGACTTTGAATTCAATGAAGTGGAAGAAGTATTGCAATATTATCCCCAGGGATATCACGGAGTTGACAGAGATGGCAGACCTGTTTACATTGAAAGGCTAGGAAAAGCTCACCCAAGTAAACTAGTGCGTATCACCACAATTGAACGATACTTAAAATATCATGTCCAGGAGTTCGAGAGGGCTCTACAAGAGAAGTTCCCCGCCTGTTCCGTTGCTGCAAAGAGACAGATCTGTTCAACAACCACTATCTTGGACGTGCAAGGCCTGGTGAGATGACTCACTCCTTTACCAATTTCCCAGATTAAATGCCATTTGTTGCTGTAAATTGTCTTTAAAAGGGGTCTTGTTAGCTGTGTGACGAAATTGGAATCTTCTCTTCAGTTTTTTTAATTACTGACTTCACAATATTTATGTTTATGCACCAAATTATTGCTTCATCAATATTGGTATTATTCATATTTATTTTTTATAGAAGAATGCTATTTGTTTGTTGAGTAGAACATAATCCAGAAGTTTTTCCATTTTTCTTTTATTCTACTGTAAGTTCTTCAGATGTTTGACCTCATTTCCGTTGATATGTATTACAATTGAGTTTCTATGTGGTATACAATAATGCCATGAAATTTGAACATGCAGGGGGTTAAAAATTTCACAAAGACTGCTGCTAGTCTATTGGCAGCCATGGCAAAAATTGACAATAGTTATTATCCAGAGGTATTACTGGTTATTTTTTAGTTGATTTTTCTCTTTCGATGCCATCAACAATTCACCAAATGTTACCAATGATTTTTTTTCCTCTAATCATTTACAACAATTTTCTGCAGACGCTTCATCGTATGTATGTAGTTAATGCTGGACCTGGCTTCAAGAAGGTGCTTTGGCCTGCTGCACAGAAGTTTTTGGACCCAAAAACTATTGAGAAAATACATGTAAACCATGTGTATTGGCTCTTTTCCATCTTTCTTTCTATTTCTTCATTTACCGTAGCTTCCTCTGATAGCATACACGTTTCTTTATGTATAGGTTTTGGACCCTAAATCTTTGGGGAAGCTTCTTGAGGTCATTGACCCAAGGTTTTTTGGCCTCTTCTGTTTACGTTCAATGTTAGTTTCTACAATCATACCTTCTAATTACTTTTAGTTTTATTCCCAGTGAATTGCCCGACTTTTTGGGTGGATCATGCACTTGTGCTGCCGAGGGAGGTTGCCTGAGGTCAAATAAAGGCCCATGGAATGATCCTGATATAATGAAGGTAGGTTCATATACTTCTTCGTTATGTTAGAACTGTACTAGAAAGCATCATATTACCAGGGTGCCTGAATATCTTTCCATTTGTAGATTATTTATCATGAGGAAGCAACATTTGGGAGGGAGATCACCAAGATACCCAGCGACAAGCAGAAAATTGACTCATTTATTCATATATGCCCAATGAAGGAGGTAACATAAATTTAGGCTTTCAAACATTAATTATAACATCTGTAACATTTTTT